CCCCCAAATAATGTCCTTGCATTTTGTACATGTGTCGTTGTTATTCTTACATGTCTTCAGATTACGTCATCGGAGGTAAACACCAAGCTTCAAAACCAGATGAATATTGATCGTCAAAATGTTGAGTTACGAAAGGTGTTTTTTTAAATCCTATCCAGTCAATTCAACGAGTGGTTGGTTTCTGCATAAATAGAGACACTTTATTTTGCTCTCGATTGTCTTGGCCATGAATGGTTTATCACGCATTTCACTTTATGCAATCTCAAGTTATTAGAAAATGTATGAATGAAGCATCCGAGAAATCCGGAACAGATTAGCCTTTGTATTTACTAAATCATTAATAATCAATTAACGGTCGAGGGGCTTTTCGGGAGTCTGAAACCAATCAGTCATTCATCCGCATTGCTAAACATTAATTACTTTTATATTCAGCTTCTCGCGGGATTGCTCGAGGACGTTAACAAGGTAGTCCCATGCAACTCGTTTTAAACGCAGTATATCTTTCCGGAAGACTGATATTATAATTCAGGAAAATCTCCATTTGGTTCTTTGTTGTATGTACTGGGCGAAACCGGCGAATTTAGTGTATGATTTTTTATTTGAATGAGACATTTGTTGAATGAGGCACCATTTTTTTCATCAAGGATGCATGATTATGACTAGAACATACAAAGAATTGCGACCATCTCCGGTGAAGGCAAGTTTTCAAGCCTAAATAATCTAGGATCTTTCCTCTGGTGGAGGGAATTCCGTCTTGTTCATCCACCACCAACACAATCACATTTGAGCGGATTGCAATTTTTTTTTTGGAGCAAAAAGCAGGTTCAGTCTATGAGTTGCTCCTTGAATGAGACATTTGTTGTACGAGGCACCATTTCGTGGGAAAGGGAAGAAGGGAGGATTGATGATTATGACGCTGGGGGAAAAAGAAAAGAAAAATGGCGATCATCTCCCAGCAGTGAAGTCAAAGTGTCTACGCCTGACAACTTTAGGACCATCCCTCCAGTTACATACAGAGGAAATGACGTCTTCTATATACTTGCACCATCACCACGACCACGACTGCACCAGTGAGCACCCTGTCGTCCTTTTCCCCACACACACACCCCCTCCCTTGCATGCACTTATTGCTGGCAAAATACACTGGGTTCCTGGCCCCAGTGTCGGAAGATCGCAGAGAACCCGTTAACCGTGAGGATTCCCTGGGTTCATAGGGTCAATGCTCGGTTTTGATTTCCGCGTCTCGGGACGACTGCACGTGTGAAGCGAATCGATCCCAGGCCTTTTCTTCTTCTTGTTTTGTACTGTACTGCACTGAACCCACGTCACTCGATCTGCGATGTATTCTGAAGTGTGATGATGTCTGTCGATTCGACATGGCCTCGTTTGAGGTCGTGCTCTTGTCCAGAGGAGAGAAAAGCTGTCCTGCGATTATTCAAGAGTCACAATACGGCATCTCTTCATTCATGGTCTCAAGACTGCCGTGTTTACTCGAATGTACGACGATACCTGAGTCACTTTTATACCCTGTATACTGGCGTTAATTGACGTTTCAATCTCTTTTTCATCGTCTTCAAGAACAAACTCATATACCATGTCGATATATAAAGGGAACATTTAATGAGAACTACATACTGTATATATTGTCTCGGAAGATGCATCCTCAGTTGTAAAAGTCGTGTTTTCAGCTAAGAATGAATCCTCTTAGCCCACGCGAGGGGCTCATCAATTTGGCGAAATGCTGTGTGCATGTGATGCATGAGGTCCTCGGGGTTCAATTATTGCGCAAGATAATTTCTTCATAATTACAAAACCATTTTAGCTTAAGTTGACTGGATTAGTGCGGTCCTGCTTTCAACGAGGACGGAATGCTGAAATAATTACCACTTCGAAACACATTTTCAGAGACATTCTGCCCAGAAGAGGAAGAGAAACATGCTTTTGAGCATGCTATAGTAATATATTGAATATAAGAGCAAGTACCATTTACTCATGTGCAACGCGCTTGATTGAGAAAGAAACAATGGGTTTTCTCTCCAAAGTTTTGGTAAAATTTGATCGCCAAGTATGACAAGCACCACATTTTTTATTACTCTAAAGTGCAATACGTATATTAAAGATGAGAACACCCAAATTTGAATTTAGACACGAATTGAACCTCAATTTAAATATTTTTTTAATTCTTCCCATTAAAACAATTTTTGCTGTTGATGTTTTTCAAAAATTTCCGACTAGAATGAATTATAAATTATTCTGCCCGTGGTACTTGAGTTGTAGCGTTGTATGATGGGGATCTATTGCTAAGATACCGTGGAACAAAGCAGCACGCATAAACGAGTGACTACAAACGAAGGAAATAATTTTTATTGAGCATTCTCCTCGGCGCTGTATTTTTAGAATGATTTTTTCATCTACTTGGAATGCAGGCTGGTGACCCATGATGGTCATCTCCCCGCGGGAGTTTTCACTGGACTTCTATTCCGTTGTTCTCAACGTGAGGATGATACATTGGCATTTCCACTCGGGGATCCTTGGGAGAGATCCCCCTCCAAAAAAAGAGCCCAGATTCCCCCCGAAGCCTGTATTCATCTCTTGCCTCTTGGGTTTGGGTCCGAAAATAATTTTCGGGATACGTGGGATACGAAAGGCTAGCTCCGCTTCCTCACTTGAGAAGTACAGTATATATATTTTTATTATTATTTCCTATATGGTTGTCGTTGATCGTTGCTCAATTTTCAAACGCGCGGGTTATTTAAAAAAATCACAAATAGCCCTTGATGAAAAATAAAAATTTTGCAGGCCTAATTCGTGAAGAGCTGTTGGTCTGTGACATCATTTTCATGTACAGAATATTTTTCAAATTCTGCGTAACTTTCCCAGTTCGGTTTTTATGCATTCCTGGTCAAAGTAAGTACACTAATGTAATTAGTCCGTATGCGAACAATATTATTCTCCGAATGGCAATTTCCTGATTCGAAATATGGGCGCGTTTTATGATCGATTAGCGCATTACGACAACTCAATTTAAATGCGGTACTTAAATAAAGTCGAACCTTTCTCAAATCAAATTTCAAGGACCCAAAAATAAATTTGACTTCGGAATGCTTTGAGTCAAGAAAAACAAGCATTTTTTGTTTTGAAAAACGTCGAAGAAGTACGGGGAACTCTAAATGGTGATATTCTGGGCTTTCAATTGCGTTTTAAATGAGTTAAGAGGATGCTGAACTGGGAAGCAGGGGATCATTTGCCCCATTAGTGTTCCCCTTCCTTTCAAAACACATCAAGTTTCTTGTTTTATTGCTTTTATCTTTCCTGTGTCAAGAAAATACTGCAATAGCCGAAAGGCTTCAGAAAATTCTATTTGAGGAGGTGTTCGAGGAAAAGCCTTCGAGGTTTTTAATGCATTGTTTCTAAAGAAAATTCAGACGCAGACTTGAAAAAAAAATCCGACTTGGGGAGGATTCTGTACCTTATGCAATAACCAGGCAACCCAGGGTCTTATTTATAAACTCCCAGTCTTCTGTGTGAGCACTCGGGCATCGCTAAATTTGTCTTCCCGTACTGATGATTTTTTTTTTGCAAAGAAAAATTGAGTTCAAGTGGACTACTTACTGTACTGCTGGACAGGTTTTTTTTTCAGTGGTCGATGTGATGAGACGTGCATTTTTCTGCGAGGAGTTTGCATCATCTGTGTGTAATACTGTGCTGTGTTGGGTTTCAGAGGCTTGGGTGGTTGGTTATGGAGGAGAAGAATACAGGAATAAGAAGCAGAGACGCAGGGAGGTTTTTGCGCGCTGTCGAGACCCGCCCGGGTTCGGGATTATGATTGATTCCGCCGGCGGAGGATTCCCGGGAGCTGGCTTTTTTCGGGGGTGTATTTTCGGCCCGGGGGTTGCGTAGTGGGTCGTGGGGCCCGCGGAGTGGGGCTCGGCGGGCCCCACGACGGGGTTCTTTCTGCTCGCTTCCCCGGAGCTACGTCGACTTCCGCGCCCGGCTCTTTCCAGAGCCAGCGCCGACGTCGTCCGCAAAACATCCCTACGTCACTGTGCTGCGCCAAAAAAAAAAAACTTGTTTTCTTCTTCCTACTTGTTCACCACCCCTCTTTTTGCCAGAGGGGGGTTTCTGCAGTGTTGCGTGTGTGTGTGTGTGTGTGTGTGTGTGTGTGTGTGTGTGTGGGTCCCCGTTTTTGCGTAGTTGTGCTACGAAGTGGGTCAGTGAGTGTTGTCGTGTGCAAAGGGATCCCGTGGCCTTGGGGCGTGGGAGTTCCGGGGAATGGCGCAAAATTTTCTCCGCACAGGTTTGGATCCGAAACTCACGCGAGTTCTTTTTTCCCCTCTCTGTGAAATCGTTCTTCTCTTCCATTCCTTCAGATGTGAGAAATAGGATTACCTGATTCGTTCAACTTTCCTTTTTTTTACTACAGTACTTTATTTGGCAAGAACTGATGATTTTGGGAATATTTCATTCCGGATGTGATAGGCGGACTTTTTTTGTGTACTGGTTCGAATTTCGAAGCTTCTTGGAATTTTGGAACTTGAGGTACGCTTCAGTGAAAAAAATGTTTGCGACGAAATATTTTTATGCAAAAAAGTCTTCGCCCGTTTTCATCTGGCTAAAAATTCGAAGGAATTTAGCGGCATTTTTTAAATATCCAAAGTCGAGTCTTTGTCGACTTTATATATTGTAATCAGAAACTCTGAATGTCTTTTCGAACTTTTTACTCCGATAAAATATCCTCTTTGACGAGAAAGCTAATGCGACTATCTCTTGATTTCATACATTAAGCATATTGTACTTCGGAATTCGAAGCAGACTTGTTTTACGCCTCAATTCATTATTAAAGCTCAGATTGAAGTTCAGAAGAACGTTTCAAACATAATTTGTCATGTCTTTCTTTTGGTTTTGTTGCTTGGAGTAAAGCTTGCTTGCTTCCTTTGACATGTAAATTTATTTTGCATTAGTTCAGTTTTACTCGTTTATCTTTGACAACACGTGAGAAGGCTTGCAGAATTTCGAATGCTTCACTTATTACACCCAAAAAAAAAAAAGAAAAAGTGGGGCATTCCCGAGATATGTGGGAAATATGCCTTTTCGCGGCGAAATGACAGGGGCCTGTTGTTGTTAATGAAAGCATCAGGCCTTTTGAGAGCAGCCAGCCCAGGTCGGACGAGGAGGTGTCGTGTACTGCTCTGCTGGCGGATGAAGCATTTGAGAAAATGGCAGAGATTTTTAGCAAGCGAGGATGAGAAACTGCAGCCAGCCACGGGTGAGTTGCGACATTCCGAGGCGTGAATCTAGAGCGTGAAGCGAGGTCCGGTGTTTTTGTTGAGTCTTCTCATTCTCGCTCTTCGTCGAGAAAATGCTTCCTGGTACCCTTGCAGAAAGGGGGGTCCATTTTTCGGGTACTCGTCCCGTTTCAGTCCCGCGTGCTGCCCCCGTTACGTGCCATGTAGTCTGGGCGGAAGTTTTCCTCTTAACCTTCCAATTCCCAACCCCCACCCCGAGACGTTCGTGAGCTTTTGCCAAGGGAAGTTATGAACGAGGAGTGTTCCAAAAAGTTCGAGACGGGCAGAATTTAAAACAGAGTCCCTCGAGTACCAAGGATGTGCAGTATATCTGACCTGAGTGAGTTCAACCAGCACAAGCCAATGTGAGATCGATGATGACGATTATGTCTTCAAGTAACCCACGCTTCAATTCAAGTAACCCTCGGTTTATTCATCCGTTTCGGATTTTCTCAAGTAAGGAATTCAATCTTCTTTACGAGTTACCATCAATAAATGGCTGAATAGCATGACAATTTTTCGAACATGATTTTTCAGTTATTAAAATTGGCTCTTATTGAAATAAATTTTGTCATTTTTGGCAACATTTTGAACACCCCGAAATTAATAAGGCACATGAAAGTTGCATGTACAGTACATCTTATTTCCTCACCGTGATGGAGTGCACTTCCATTACAGCCTTGATGAAAAAAAAATTGGTTAGTAAATCAGATATTAATCATATGCCGTTATAATTTTAAACACCAGTCCGTGAATATCCGTGCCTTAAGCAAGTACAGTAGTATAACGTGGGAATCGAAGAAATTTACAGAACTTATGAGCCAGCCCTCGTATTCATTTATTTTTTGGAACTTTTGAGTATGATTGGTACACTTTATTGTTTTTAGTCGTAAGGCCTCATTCAGTAGAATATTGTCGGTACTGGAGCTACTCATTTCCTGGCTTGCGTGCTTCATGATTTTGCCTCCGTGTTGATTCATTCCTATCTGGATCTCACTGTGTGTTTTGTCTTTTTCTTAGAGTCTCAGTGCGTATTTTAAAAATTGCAGCGCTGTTTTTTTTTTGGATGAACATTCCTTATTCATATTGCAACGTTTAAATTGAATTGAAAATTTCACGGTTGTGTGGATGTTTTTCTGAGTGTTCGGAAAATTTGAAGCGCGTCTCCAATTTTTTTGCGACGATTACATCGCTTCGAGGAAAAGAGTCGCATTCGGAGGTTTTCAAATTCTTGGGCAAATTTATCACTATACGCGTGTGGAATTCAGTCCAGAAAATATCAACAATTTCTGAACTATTGAGTCACGTGAGAAATTCAAAAAATCTCCTCGACGAATAGCCGAAGTCACAATTTACCTCAATAGCATTTCTCGTGAATTGTATTGTTCTAGTCCTTTTGGTAAGAAAGGTGCTGTCATTCTGAAAAAAAAATTGCTGCTGAGAAAACATTGTAATGTGATTCCTAGAGCTGTCCTAATTCTGAGTGTCTTTAAAAGGATTCGGAAGCAGCCATCAAGACATTCATGCAAATTTTTACATTCACGAATGCTTTTTCAATAAATCAAATCTCCATTCAATTTTTTTCGTACCAGGATGTTGAAGTGTACGATGATGTCATTGTCCGCTGAATAAATTTTCTGTCTTAGTTCCGCGAGCCCTTTTCATTTTAACGTTCAAGAGAGCCCATAATTGCTTGAGAACATTCATTCAAGAATTTTCTGAGACATTTGAATACCTTTGAATTCGGATTATTCACGTCATTCGAAATGTCGGACTTGCCTTCCCGTAGTATTGTACTGTACTTGCGAAATTGAGCGACGATGAAAAGATAGATTTCCAATAAAAAAAATTATTTTTATGTACACGGTATTTTTAAACTTTTTGAAAGTATGAAGTGCTTCGATTTCAAATGTTGTTCGTAAGCAAACGATGTGCATCTCTCTCTTTTTTTCATCGCTGATGGAAAATTCCGTTTCAGGCGGTATTTTAAGTTTTGAGGCGAAAGGTATTTTCGCCCACTCACCACTCTTTCTGATGAAATTTTCCGCTCTTGCTTTGGCACTGGTTGCGTTCTGTGCAGAAAATTATTCTCTTTTGTCTTCAGCATCGTGTTCGGCAAGCGTTTATTAAAGAATGCCGAATCCCTGGTCTTCCATGGATCATCCTTTTGAAGTCCCTGCTGTGAACCAGATGAAAGCTCTAGCATGAAAGCAATGATGGAAAAAAAATTAGAAATGTGTTTTTGCATATTTCGTGGGTGTTCATCTTCTCTGGCATTTTCGCTATCTGCGTGGACTATGAATGCCTGGAAAGCAGTCGAGGTTTTAAATATTTTACGATGTTTACTCAATTTTATGCCGTTCATTTTGCTCTTCTGATGGAATTGTACGAAGGCGTCTTTTAATCAAAGCTTTCTTTTAGATTCTGGAGTACACGCAAGAATTCCTCATGGTACATTCTTGAAGTTTGGCTGTTAAACCTTCTGAAATTTTCTAGAACGATCTTTAACGTGTAGTATTTCCTTGAATGACAAATCCCAATTTCTGCTGCAAAAAAGTGCCAAAAACTTAGATTTTGTCAATTTTAGACATGATTGAACAGAAGATATGACGTATGTACTCCAAGTACTGTATTTGGGAAACGAATGCCAAAAAAAAAAAAAAAAAACCCGCTGTACTAAAAGCTCGAGGAAAATTTTCCCTCGCGTCTCGTCCGGGTATTTCAGTACTGTATTTCATGAATGAATCAGTCCATATAAGCTTTACGCCTGTGAAACTTCAGACAAAATGCAATTCCTACTTTCTGCATGTTTTCACCAAAGTTTTATCTCGGAAATTTCCAAATTTGTCTGCGACCTATACGTACTTTTCCAGAAATTTTTTCTCTGATTCAAGTGCAGCAAACAATCGTGCGAGGGGTTTTTTCGTATTTTCTGAACTCATTTTGGGGGTTAACTGTTCTTCTCATGCTGGGAAAGTACACCGATGATGAATCAATGCGAGATTCAGCATTCTTCATTTGGTCTTTATTTTTTTAACGTTTTTCGGGATTTTTCTATCTTTTAGGTTTAGTTTGAAAGCGTGATGCTAAACGACCTTCTGGAAAATTGTGTGCTTCTTTCATCAATTTAGAAAGATTACATCCAGAAAAAAAATATGCGAATTTATCGCATAACGATTCAGCGTGTTTCGCTTGGATGTGCCAAACTGTCCCAGCACCTCGTTCAGTTTTCTGTCACGCCGGTGTTCTTTGTTTGTTTTCCGACAAAACAGATGTCAGTGTCGGAGATCGGGCTCAGATATTGACAATTTTTTTTTTTTTTGAGTAGAAAGCTGTGGGGTGGGGGGAGGTGTGGTAATACTCAAACAAGATAAACGCAAAAAAATGCAAAGGGGAAATGGGTGCGGGCGTTCACCTGGGTCGCATCGATTTAAAACGCTTCCCCATTCCGACCTCTTGCGGAAATTTCGGGCTGGGAACAGCTGTTCTTTCTCTATGATATTTGCCCGTTCCCCACCAGAATCTCGACACCGGTGCTTTTCGCACTGGTCCCTCTGACAGTTTCTAGGGCTGTTTCATAAGTTTGACAATTTGTTTTCTTTTAATTCGAACTGAGCAAAAGTGGAGAGATAGAGAGGAGGATTTTATATTCCCTCGCGGGAAGAAGGTACACCCCGTCACACAAACCTTTCGATAATTACCTCCTGGTATCAAAGATGGAGTCCTGATTAAAGAGCAACTTTCAAATGTTTTAAATTCATGGACTGATGAAGGAATATGCATTCAAAGGTATTCGTGAGAAAAACACTTTTATTCTGAGTCCTAAAATCTCTGTTGATTTTTTCTAGTCACTTGAAATTTTTTTCGATCTAACCTTCGAATCTTTGACATCTTGAGTAACGGCACGGTTTGAAAATAATTCAGGTGGAAGCCTCGCGTTCAAACTTTCAAGTTTATTTTTACTTGACCAATCGGAGCGTGTTGACAAGAGGCAAAATAGTGGGCATTTTTCCATTGTTTCTTCGAATCTGTTCTTGTTTTTCTTCTCAATATTTTTGCGGTAAATCTAATTTTTTTTAGGTCTCAGCCTCAATGGCGCTTGGAAACACCGTCGTATTTGGAAATGGGAATTTGACACGACTTCATCTGGCTAAAAGAAGCCGCCATTTTTGGAGTTGAATTCCCCTTAGAAATTCGTTTATTCGTTTTTCCCTTTGAATTTTGGGAAGTTTTTCTGCATTTCGTTGAGTATGTGCTACTTTCAGACGAAAATTATTCTTTTACTCTTTATATGTTCATCTTCGAGACTTTTCCGATATCTGCGAGATGTTGAAGGCCTGCGACGCAAATCGTCAAAATCGAGAAAATTGCGATGAGCAATTGATCGATGGATCAATGAATGTTGCAACGAAATTTGTTACTCCAAGCAGATTTCCCGCCGAGATTTGTGTACATATCTAACGATTGCTCAAGAAGTGAACATGTTTTTTTTCTCTTGATTTGAAGCTCAATATAGCTCTATTTCAAAACAATTGCGACGAAGCGATTAATGAATGAGAAAGATTTATAGCGTTTTCTTAACCCAAGCAATAAAACAATGCAAAATTTATGTTAATTATTGCAGTACTAGAATCACGCATGAAAGCAGAAGCTCTAACGGGACAAACCTTTCACTTGATTGTAAAATTGAAGAAATATTACGACGCTTTCAATCGATAACAACATTCAGACTAATCATCATTCAACTGTTCGAATTTCGGTTTATAAACAAATCGACTTCCTTAAGAGCTAGTATTATAGTTAAGCAGGGCATTACTGTAGTTCAATTCATGGTGAAACCATCATTTATTGATCAGCTTATAATTGGTGGACTTTTTGTTATTCAACCAACAGAAAGTAAAAAGTTCAGTCGCTCTTTCGACTGTTCGTCTCGCGAGTTGATCCTTCCGCTTGTCTCACAGCGAACAGTTATTGGGCGTGTTAATTAGTGTTAATTAGCCGAATTGAAACCTCGAAAGAGAGTTATCGATATTTTTCATTTGAGCTATTTCCGAATGGTGGGTCAAATTCTTGAATGTACCACCGACCCTCTGATACACGTATAGTTATCGAGGAGCTCCATGTTCAAAATTTAAATTTCTATCATAGCATTGAATAATACGAGGGCTGTCCTATTTTGACGCGACCTGTGATAGTTTTAGGATGGGTGTGATTGAAAAAAAAAATCATGGCCCATGATGTTCTGGGATTTTTTTTCGGATTTTTAAAATGTTTTTTATATTAACTGAATGCTGATACAGTAAGCAAAAACTCTCCACTTGCAGCCAGAGTTCCCCTACAACGTCTCAATATGCAAAAAAAAAATACGCAAGACGAGCTAAACAATTGAATTTTTGTTATTTTAAGCATTAGCCAACATTGAGAAAAAAGGGAGAAGTTCAAATTTTAGGTTGCTTGACTCTGGCTGTAACTGAAAAATTTCAACTTATTCAGTAAAGTGAAAAACCTCTTTAGGAATCCGGAAAAAAAAGCCCAGAGCTTCAGAACATCTTGACTGTGTCATGCTTATTTTTTATTTTTTTGGCTATCACGCCTACGGTACTCTAAAAATATCAGTGGTCGCGTCTAATTGGGACAACCCTCGTATGTGACAATACATTGCTCGATTTTTTTGCAATTCCCTCGACCTGTGCCGAATTGCCGATCTTCCGCTGAGCAGTACTGGCGGAATTGAACTTGCGACTGGAACTCGCTCAACGACTCGCACGTGCTGAACTTCCGGCAGAGTCGGAAATAAATCGCGTGTCCCGCTATTCGCCCCGGCTCTTCCCACACTGCTGTCTCTGACGGCTGCTGCGGAATAAGCCCCCGGGGGCAGGGGAGACGTCGTCGTCGGTGACGTTGGCTGGGGAAATGAGAGAACCTCGCTGCAAAAAAATAAAAATAAATAAATGATGAAGGGGGAGGATCGGGATGAAAGGTGGGGTGCGACGGGTTGCGCAGGAAGCTGCCCCGTTACCCGGGTGAGTGCACAGCTGCGAGAGAGTGCGGTGCCTGTCAACGCGGCGGTTTTTTGCAGGAATTGCGTGGTGTCTTCGTCTTCCGGAGTTTTCATTTTTACTTGTTAACCTTTTTTTTCCATTCAGCCTCTTATTGCTCGTCTGCGCAAGCATCTGCAGTAAATGGAACAGCATTGTCGTGCTGAAATCATCCTGGAACATGATGAGACAAGACTTCTGGGCTTTTAATGTGGCCAGCGTTAATAGCGGAGACTAACTGTAAAACCTGAGACTTCTTTCGACGAGTGGGAAGAGTCGATATTTTGATTACCTGTCTTTTTAGACGCTTCTCGTGACGAACTAAGGCGTATAAAATGATGGAAAATTATTTGACCTCATCAAGTATAAGAGGTCATCATGTATTTTTATGCATCAGAAAATAAATCGAAAATTTAATTGAATCAAAGACTGAATTTCATCACATCTCATTAAAATGCGGGAAAAATAATCAGGAACAAAATTGAGGGTTCTCTGTGAGCGATGGTAATGTGCTTGTGGAAAAAGTTAATTTAAATGAATTCATACCACATCACGCGGGATCTCGTTTATATGACTCTTTTTTTCTGCGGTTTATAATAATATTTGAAGTGGGGTTGTGAATACTGTATGGATAAAGGCTGGCTTTCAAGTCAGCGAAAACATTTTTTGAGCCGTTAAAATTAATCACAGAATAATGAATGACTCGTTTCTCTCCAGCTGGAAGGGAATGAAATGCGTGACGTAAAGGTGGGGGGTTTTATTTGGGTTCCCCCTGTTCGAAAATATGTTGAGAGGTTTTTATCCCTGCTCTCACGGTCAATAATATCGATTTTGTGGGGGTTTTTTCCGACGAGGGTTTGGCTAATGTTTTATTCTACAGCTGCGGTGATTTAATGATGAGAGGCACAAGCACAAGGGAAAAAAACGAATGCCTAGTTACGTTTTCAATGGACGAGTGGGGTTTTATCCCGTGTACAGCCAAAACTGTATCCAGAAGTTATAACTTGTATTTCAGCCAGTCTGTTTCCTTTAGAAAATTTCAATGAAACACTTTCCCACAGCCTGAAATATAATGAGTTTGTCGAGAACGTAGGAATGTTTATATGCTTTGGAATCCAGCAGTTTTTCCCAGACAACTTTGTTTGTGTAAATTTGTTGGACCAAGTCCAACTCTGAAGTACTGTAGTTCCATCGTAACAAAAATTTTCATCAATGATATGTTCACCCCATGTAAAAAACATGACCACGAATCTCATTCATTGAAGAAGCAAGTTTTTTTTTCAGAATTGAAATTTCTTCTCACGCAGATCTTAGACTTAGGATAGTTTCCCTTGGGTTCATCAGAAGCGAAATAAATGTCAAATGCGTCGAATTAAAATGCATTTTGTAAAAGGAAAAGGAATATTTAATTGAATGTGTTTCATCCAGAAAATAAATTCGAGCTTGTAATTTGAAAAGGAATCGTCGAAGATGGAGATGACAGGTGTTTGTCATTTTTCGCTGAAATTTGGCAAATATTTCTGACGCTTCCTCTCATCTGGAATGACTTCACGACATTTTCGCCGCAGCATTGGAAAAATTTAAAAATCAGGCCGATACCGTCAAGTTTTTTTTTCATGCGTAAATAGCGTGTTATGAAGATTATTTCAATTTCAGAGTTAAGGATGCTCATTCATTATTCTGTAGCTCAGCCGCTCTAAAACGAAGTTTCCAAACTAAAATATTTGTTCGGGTTTCGCCATAATATTTTTCCGTCTGCTATCGATTATTTTTGAAGATGGTATACTAACTTTTGTTATCTATCGAATTCGCATTAGTTGAGCTTTCGAGTTCGTTGAATTTATCCTGGGTTAATGTTGAGATGTAAGTTCACGGCCTATGATCGGCATTGTCCACTGAAACCTTCACCTGTAGCTCAGACATTCCAAGGAAAGTTCTGTTTATTTATTGAATAGAGTTAATAAAGCCTGACGCTAATTTTGCTGTGAATAAATTATTTTTTCGTGATTCATGCGTGAATAAATGGCTGATGAGTACTGATCGCTAGATCCGATCGTTGTTCGAGTATTCACGCTTCCCCACGCAAACGTTCTATTTTAGTAGTTACTCGTAAATGAGTCCATTTCATCATGTTTATTTTTAATCCTTGGATAAAGAAGTTGACGCTTTGGAAAAAGAATTAAATTTGCTTTTACGGGTTTGACCTCTCCGGTCATCACACGTAGAGGAAGTGACTCGACTGGCTTTTCGCGCGCCAATTCCATCAAGCGGAAGACGGTCTTCGGGGTTCCGAATGCAGTTCGTCTCGGGTTCCCCGTGTTGGAAGCTGCAGCTTCTCCCGCATTGAAAAAATAATAATAAGATGGAAGTTAAGTGTAATTTTTAAACTTGAATTTTCTTCCGTCGCATCGAACCTAAAGGGAATCATATTCGATTGCAATTGTGCAAAGAATGTGATCGCTTCGAAAGGAGAGTTTGTTCCAGTGGGTAACTTGAGTATATGTCCAGCTAGCTGATGAAACAGATATTGTTGTCCTTGATGTGATAACTATTTTCTCTTATTCTCCAGGCATGAATTCCGCCGAAAAGCGAGAATTATTCTTGCAGCAGTATGTACCGGATTTTGAGAGGAAAAATCGGGCATAAGTGCAAACAATTTTTTGAAGCTTTTCAAAAATTCTGATTAGCCGTTCAGATTTCTGTGTAAAACCTAAAAATATATACAGTACAGTAATCACCAACTTGGATTCCCTCCATCCCTTCTTGTGATTTGAAATATTTTTTATTCTGTGCGGTGTTTTTTTCTCTTGGCTCCGAGTTGCTGAACATCTCTTGTCATTATTATTCATCTTTCTCGTGAAAATCGGAAGATGATCAGCAATCTTTGGATGATGTATGATTGATTGTTTACTCGTTTTTCTCCCTCTTGCAGAAAAAGGAGAGAGAGAGAGAGATAGAAAGGTAGAGTGGAGTAATAATAACAAGGAATAAGTGGTCTTCGTCGAGCGGCGATTCGGGTAGTCGCGAAAGAGAGAGAAATTATTTGCATGGATGAGTGTTTCGAAAGCCGTCGACGTCGGACGTTTGTTGTGCGTGA